AGTAGTAGGTTGTCACCTATACTTCTGACTGACCTGCTATAAATTGGGGTTCCCATGACTCCCTCCTTGGTTTTGATTAATTTGCAAGGAGAGCTCACAGGATTTGGGGAACATTTACTTAAGTTTATCAACTTATTGTGTAGTAAGTCCTCACTTAATATCATTGGTAGGTTCCTGGAAACTGGGACTTTATGTGAAATGACACAGAGCAGGTCCTCGAAAAATGTCATTTTGTTCAATGCCATTTTTTTTGAGACAGGGGTCTTGCTCTGTCCCTCGGCTAGAGTGCTGTGGCATGATCATAGCTCACTGCAGCCTTGGACTCCTGGGCTCAAATGGTCCTTTTGCCTTAGCCTCTAGAGTAGCTGGGACTGCAGGCTTGCACCACCACTCTTGGCTGTTTGTAAATTTTTGGACAGGGCCCAACATTTTTCACTATATTGCCCCGGCTTGTTTTTAACTTCTGGCCTCAAGGGATCCTCTCACCGGCCTTCAAAGTGTTGGGATAACAGGCGTGAGCCACTGCATCTGGCTTCAATGTTTTTTTCTTTATAATATTGATGATTTTAAAAAATGTCATTTCATGTAAAGTCCCAGTTTCCCAGAAATGATTGATGACATTAAATGAGGACTTTCTGCATTAGTACAAGATATAATAAGGGATACAGAGGAAAAGCTAGGTGGCGATATACAAAGGTGAGGTCGCGGAAGGTTCTGAACACAGGAGCTTCTGTCTTTGTGGATTTGAGGTGCACCACCCTCCTGTCATTTGGATGTGTTTAATAACCAGGAAGCTACCTGAATTCTATATTTCAGGGATTTTTATAGAGGCTTCGACATGTAGGCATGAAAGGAGATTACTTATCTCTAGCCCCTCTCCCTCTTTTGGAAGTAGGGGCTGGGGCTGAAGTTTCTAAGCAGCTAATCATGGCTTGATCTTTCTGGTGACCATCCCCAATCCAGGAGATCACTAATAGCTGCCCCATTAATATAGATGTTCCTATCATCCAGAAAAGTTCAAGGAATTTGGGAGCTCTATGTCAAAAACCAGGGACAGAGACCAAGGTATTTTTGGGGGGAGAGCTCCTAAAACTGGAATTTATTTCTAAAAATTTGTGCATTTATTCTTCTGTGTTTAAACTTTAGTCACCTTGAAAGTACTGTCTGCTTGATGCAATACACCTATCAAGATGCTTCTTCCACTGCTCAGAACAATTTTGAACTTTTCAGTTTTGATGCCTTTTAGTACTTCTGCTGTTTTTGTTTCACTTCTTCCACATCAGCAAAAACGTTTCCCTTTGAGGAGTTTTTCACTGGGGAAACAAACAAAAAAATTGTTTGGGACAAGATAGGGTGAATAGGGAGGGTGGGGCCCAAGGGTCATGCTGTTTTGGGTCAAAAATTGCTGAATACTCAGCATGGTATAGGCAGGTGGGCTGTCATGGTGGAAGAACCAGTTACTTGTTTGCCACAACTTGGGACATTTCTTCTGCAAATTGTGAAACAACCTTCTCAAAGCTTCCAGATAAAAACTTTGGTCAACCTTTTGATCCAGAGGAACAAATTCTGAGTGTACTACAAGGGGCCCATCCTCCAAAAGATAATTCTATTTTTTTTTTTTTTTTTTGGTTCTCCGCCTCGTGTGTGTGGTGTGTGTGTGTGTGTGTGTGTGTGTGTGTGTGTGTGTATGTGTGTATTTATACCCACTCCCCAGAATGGTACTCAACCTTGCCTTCACATTAAAATGCTATCATTCTGCAAATAGGACAGGGATCCAGCCTCTGTAATAGTTAAGGTGCCCTAGGTGATTCTAATCTCTATCCAGTATTGACACCAAGGCTCTGTGTTCTCCATTTCTGAGGGCTGGGATCAGCATGTGATCCACAGAGCGATGAAGGGGCTCTTTTCTTCAATGGGCTTCATCAGGGTTGGGTCTGTGACTTGAAGGGAGTCCATCTCACGTCCCCACTGCTGCAGCATTTATATTGGCTTTTGTAGGAGGGAGTGAGTTCCAAGAAAAAGTCAGAAAACTCCCTTGTTGGTCTTCCCATAGCTGTTTATTGTCCCTGTGTCTCCCTGGTACAGTGGGCAGCAGAGAACGTCTTTCCACAGATTGCGGCCGTCTTCCCTGTGTTGTGACAAAGAAAGGGGGTGTGCTGATTCTAAGAGTTAAATAGGTTACTTTTCACATTCCAGATTGGCATCTAAAGACTTATATTGCCTGAGGAATAATCCAAAAGAGAAGGAGAAAAGAAAGAGAAGTCAGGGATGTTTCTCAGGTAAGATGACCTTCTCGGTGGATTGCCCTATATCCTTCCTTTCTGAAATGCCAGGTGTTGGAATCGTTCATTCCCTCTGGCTCTGATGCGTCCTGCCTGCTGTGTCTGCTCACACTCACCCCTGCCTTTCCTCAGTCCCTCTTGTCTCCACTTAGATTCCACTTCCCCATGACCCAGTGATGTGAACTCGTGAGGAGGTTCCATGGGTCATGGGCCTGGGAAGGTCTCATACCAGATGTGGATGGAGATGGGGCGCAGGCCCTGTGTTGTGAGAGCTGTTGGGCAACAGGGTTGTTTAGGGGCCATGTCTGGGTGCATTATGAACTCTCTAAACTAGGTACATTGTGTTTATGTTGACAGACTAAGAAAAGTGCAACTTAACGAATTTTATTGTCCCCAAAATGCTGAAATGCACATAAGGAAAGATGATAATGAAAAATCCATAAAAAAATTATGTCATTGAGAGGAATCTCTTTTTTTTTTGCTTTTTTTTGAGTCAGAGTCTCACTCTGTCACCCAGACTGGAGTGCAGTGACATGATCACAGCCACCGTAGCCTCGACCTGGTGGGCTCAGATGATCCTTCCACCTCAGCCTCCTGAGTAACTGGAACTACAGGCATGTGCCACCATGCCTGGGTAATTTTTTGTGTGTCTGTTGGAGTCTTACTTTGTCACCCAGACTGGAGTGCAATGGCATGCTCATGGTCACTACAGCCTTGACCTGCTGAGCTCAGTTGATCCTTCTACCTCAGCCTTCCAAGTAGCTGGAACTACAGGCATGTGCCACCACACCTGGCTAATTTTTTTGATTTATTGTAGAGATGAGATTTCACCAAGTTGCCCAGGCTGGTCTTGAAACCCTGAACTCAGGCAATCCTCTTGCCTCAGCCTCCCAAAGTGCTGGGGTTATAGGCATGAGCCACCATGCCTGGTTCTGGGTAATTTTTTTGATTATTGGAGAGACAAAGTCTCACCAAGTTGCCCAGGTTGGTCTCAAACCCCTGGGCTCAGGCAATCCTCTTGCCTCCACCTCTCAAAGTGCTAGGATTGCAGGCATGGGCCACCTTGCCTAGTTTATTTCCATTAATTTAAGTATGTATACATGTGTGTGCATGAGTCTATGGGTACACAGGTCCATGGCTTTTATAAAAGACAGATTATCATTTTTAAAAAAATTTTAATCAATTTTTTAAATGATACTGTGGGGTACAGTTAAGGGTTAGGTATACAAATATGCTCCGTTCAGGCACCCTTGTTTATAAGAGGTGTCTCCCAGTCCCCAGATCATCATTTCAAAAGTAAGTTTTGTGTTTTTTAACTGTATTTTCCATGGCCTTACATTTTTTCCTTCACTATCACATTAATGAGTTAAATAATAGCAAGAATACTATGTATTATGTGCTTGCATATGTGTTTGCATGTGTAACGACCTTTTACACAGTTTTATATTATTAGACTTGAACTTGTTTCAAGTTTTCCTAGGGAATTCTCCATCAAAGTTATTTTGATGCTGTATGTGTTACTTAACTGTTTATTACTTTGCTATTTTTTTTTTTTGAGTTGGAGTCTCACTCTGTCACCCAGACTGGAGTGCAGTGGCCGCTCCTGGTCACCGCAGCCTTGACCTGCTGGGCTCTGGCAATCCTTCCGCCTCAGCCTTCCAAGTAGTTGGAACTACAGGCGTGCGCTACCACGCCCGGCTGATTTTGATTTATTGTAGAGATGAGGTCTCGCCAAGTTGCCCAAGCAGGTCTCGAACCCGCGGGCTCAGGCAATCCACTCACCTCAGCCTCCCAAAGCGCGGGATTACAGGCTGAGCCACTGAGCCTGGCTGACTTTGCTATTTTTTTTAGCTGTTTGACCTGAAGGAAGTTTCTCAGTGTTTGTGACACAGTTGTCTACTAGTAAAATTGGAATATTTCTTTCTATCATGAGCCATTGTGTTGTTACTTGAGTTAATTCATGTAAAGCATTTGGAGTAACACCTAGCACATGGGAAATGTTCAAAAGCTTTAGTTATTATTATTATTTTTATCATCATAGTTTTTAGATTTTGACCTTTTTTTATTTTTAAAGCCGCTGTGGGCCAGGTGTGGTGGCTCACGCCTGTAATCACAATACTTTGGGAGGTTGAAGTAGGAAGATTGCTAGAGCCCAGGAGTTCGAGATCAGCTTGGGCAACATAGCGAGACCTCATCTCTACAAAAAATTTTTAAAAAATTAGCTGGGCATGGTGGTGCAACCTGTAGTTCCAGCTGTTTGGGAGGCCAAGATGGGAGGATCACTTGAACCCAGAAGGCAGAGGCTGCAGTGCACCAGGATAGTACCACTGCATTCCAGGATGGGCAACAGAATGAGACCCGGACTCAAAAAAAAAAAAAAAAAATGCCACTGTGGACATTGTCATCTCTCTTTCTCTAGCTCATCTAGATATTGAATATCACTTGATGTGTCAAACATAATATTTAACACTTTTATAGAGATAACCCTGTGTTGAGTTTTTATTAATGTATTTCTTCTATTGTCTACAAAAGTGAGAAATCCACACTGATTTACAGGATACCGTAACCTCCTATGGAAAAGTGTAATAAATGCGATTAGAGAGATAAACATGCTTCAGAATACCTTTGTCAGAGCACTCACTTGAACTGAATTGATACTTAAACCTCTCATTTTGTTATTTTATGTGAAGATAACTCTCCCCACAGTCCCTCGGTGAGATGTGTTTTTCATTTCAGGGAAGGTTGACATTCAGTGATGTGGCCATCGAGTTCTCTCAAGAGGAGTGGAAGTGCCTGGACCCTGCTCAGAGAGCTTTATACAGGGATGTGATGTTGAAAAACTATAGGAACCTGGTCTCCTTGGGTGAGGACATGTCCCTCCTGAAGTTGGGATCTGCCCCTGTGTGACTTTGCACTTTTCCTCTGTGCCTCTTGGGAGCCCCTGCATTGCTTGACTGAGGTTGAAGCTTTGTTACCTCTGAGATAAAATCTTCCTAGTGTGGCATTGGGACATGCTTAACTATTCCCTTTTTTCATATGTTTTGTCCCCCTCACAATTCATTTTTGGTGGTTCCAGAGCTTAAGTAGAAATAAAGTCCTATGGCAGACTAACAAAATATATAGTTCCTGGCCAGGTGCAGTGGCTTATGCCTGTAATCCCAGCAATTTGAAAGGCTGAGGCAGGAGGATCACTTAACCCCAGGAGTTTGAGACCAGCCTGGGCAACATAGCGAGACCTTGTCTTTACAAAAATTAAAAAATGAGCTGGGCATGGTGGTGCACACCTGTAGTTCCAGCTACTTGGGAAGCTGAGGCGGAAGGATTGCCTGAGCCCATGAAGTCAACGCTGTGGTGAGCTGTGATTGTGCCACTGCGTTTCAGCCTGGGCGACTGAAATAGACACACACACACACACATACACACACTCACACACACATGCACACACAGTTTCCTGTTTCCTACCCTATGCTTAAGATTCAGTAGTTCTTGGAAGAGAGCTAGATGTCTGCATGTTATAGTGTTCCCTATGCTTTCAGAAGTGGATGAATGTGCGTAATATTTTTCTAGAACCATCTGAAATGCTCTCTCCTAAACTAAACAAAGGGCTGGGATTCTGGAAAAGGCTCAGCACATCCCATTGCTTTCTTTACATAAGCAGGAATCTCTCTTTCTAAAATGAATATTGTCTCCATGTTGGAGCACCTTATTTTCTGTGTAAATTTGAGTTAGATATAAAAACCTTGTGAGTCTTCTGTCCTATTTGAAAAATAATGATAATTTACTTCAAGTCTTTTTGACAAGTTAATGCTGTTAGATAACTTATAGTAGTGCATGTTTTATGTAAGGGCTCAAGTTGGTTTTTTTTTTTAAAGAAGATATATAAACTTTCTGTCATGTTTATTATGAAGCATTTTTGATTGTATTGTATCTTTTATGTTTTTATTTTGCAGTTTTTTCTAACAGTGTTGTCACTGAACTTTATTAATAAACATTGAAAGTACGTACTCTGTTTTACATAAATTTTGTGGCCAATGAAATGGATATTTAAAAGTTGCTGTACAGATAGGGAGTGGTTTGTTTACTTGGCTGTTATGTAACTGCAGATAGGAGCTCATAATTGTGATTTCTGACATCTTTCTCTAATTCTTATCCTTTATAGTATCTATTTGCCTGACCTGAGATTTCAAAAGTCAGTGGTCTGAACATATTTTCTAGTTCTCACAGTGTATGCTCCTTTTAGAATGTAAGTCCTGTCCTTATTCTTTCTTTGAAAAAGTTATTTATTTATTATAGAATTGTGGGGTACAGGTGAGAATTTACTACATAAGTAGGCTGCATGCAAGTGAGGTTTGGGCTTCTAGGTGATCCTCACTTCCCCTGGTAGTGGATCAGGTACCCTTTGTGTTCTCAAGTGTTGTCATGTGCCCCCTGTGCTCGTCCTTCTCTCCCTTCTCTGGCAGTATCCAGCAACTGCCAATCCTACCCTTGTGCTCATGTGACCAATGATCAGGGCCCATTTATGAGTGAGGACATGGGATATTCAGTTCTTTGTTTCTGTGAAAGTTTACTTAGTATGATGGTCTCCAACTGCATCCAAATTGCTACAAAAGGGATGGTTTTGTTCTGCTTTGTGGCTGCATAATACTCCATCATATATACAAACTCTGACAATTAAGTTTGCGAACTCATCCTAAACAAAATGCAACATACCTCATTGCTGAATAGCACTATGATCAGCTTCAAAGTCCTCCCCTTGGGGAGCTATGCACCAATGCAAGTGCCTAGTCCATCCATCAAAGCAATTTTGGAAGTCTTTTTCTGGTCATCAGAGCTGTTGTTGCATTATCCTTGGTGTCCTGAAAGTTATCAAAATGTCTTCATTTCAATATTTCTCTTATCTTTGGGTAAATAAAAAAGTAATCGGGACCAGATCAAGTAAGTAGGGAGGGTGTTCTGATACAGTTATTTGCTTCCTGGCTAAAACTCCTTCACAGACAGTGCTGTGTGAGCTGGTGCATTGTCCTGATGCAAGCGCTCCTTCGGGACCATTTTTGCACACACATTTCTCATGCCAAGATTTTCAGTTAAGATTTTCCTGTTTGTCTATCAATGTTTATTTTGTCTGCTATGCTTCTACCATTAGTCAATGATTTTGATGAACAATTTGTTAAAATTTTGCAATGTTTTTGTCAGGTCCACTTGTTACTGACCTTCCTGACCTCTCTTCATCAGTGGCGCTTTCTCTCCCTTCAGAAAAATGTTTAATTCATTTGTGAATCATGGCTGTCTTCATGGCATTTTCCCCAGAAACTCGGACTAACATGTCCTTGATTTCACTCTCACTCTTGCCAAGTTTAACAAGAAGTTTAATATTTGTTCATTGCTCTAATTCAAGCTCCGGCATTCTTGCAATGGCACACAAAATCTTGCAACAACGGTAATGAATGCCATTCAGCAAGCCACCGCTACACATTGACATGAACACAGCTGTGAGACACCGATAGACCAAGGTTATGAAACCTTACCAAGCTGTTTGTACAGGGCTGCCAATGTAAGAGCATGGTGGCAAGCTCGCAGACTTAACTGTCAGACCTCATATGTATCACATTTTCTTTATCCAGTCCACTTTCAATGAGTAGCAGGGTTGGTTCCATATATTTGCTATTGTAGATAGTGTGGCAATAAACATATGTCTGCAGGTGTTTTTTGGTAGAGAGAGTTATGTTCCTTTGGGTATTGCTAAATCATATGGAAGGACAATTTTTAATTATTTTAGGAATCATCAGAATGATTTCCATGGAGGTTGAACTAACTTGCATTCCTGCCAAAAGTGTAGAAGCATTTCCTTTTCTTCACAGCCATGCCAGCACCTGTTGTTTTTTTGACTTATTAAGGATAGCCATCCTTACCGGAGTTGGGTGGTATCTCATTGTAGTTTTGGCTTGCATGTCTCTGATGATTAGTGAGGATGAACATCTTTTATGTGTCTGTTGGCTGCTTGAATGTCATCTTTAGAGAAGTGTCTGTTCATGTCTTTCATCCACTTTTTAATGGGGCTGTTAGTTTTTTTCCCTCTCACTTGGCATTGTTTAGAATTTCCCAGACCATAAATTTGTATAATTTTGTTTAATAGTATTTAATTCTGGTTTTATTACAGATTATCAGTCTATCTTATTAATTTTCAACATGACTTACAGGTGATGGATTTTTAAAAAAATTATAAAGATGTGGAGTACATTTTAGGGTTAGGTATACAAACATTGATTATACAGGGACCCTTGTTGATGAAGTATGCCCCTCCCTCCCCTGACAGTTTCCCTCAACTGCCAATCCTGCCCCCCTCCCCTAACAGTTTCCCATTACTGCCAAATGTTTTCTTATAGTATTATAATTGTTCAAGGTCTGCTTATGAGAGAGAACATATGGTACTCTGTTCTTTGTTTCTGTGATAGATCACTGAGTATGATCGACTCCAAATCCATCCAAGTTGCTGTGAAGTCCATATGTTTGTCCTTTTTTATGGCTGCATAATATTCCATTGTGTATATGTACCACATTTTCTTTTCTTTTTTTATTTTTTGAGTTGGAGTTTCACTCTGTCACCCAGACTGGAGTGCAACGGCTGCTCCCGGCCACCGCAACCTCGGCCTGCTGGGCTCCGGCGATCCTTCTGCCTCAGCCTTCCAAGCAGCTGGAACTACAGGCGTATGCTACCACACCCGGCTAATTTTTTGATTTATTGTACAGATGAGGTCTCACCAAGTTGCCCAGGTGGGTCTTGAACCCTCAGGCTCAGGCAATCCACTCACCTCGGCCTCCCAAAGTGCTGGGATTACGGGCTGAGCCACCGAGCCCAGACCACATTTTCTTTATCCAGTCCAACTTCAATGGGCAACATAGTTGGTTCCATGTTTTTGCTATTGTGAATAGAGCAACAACAAACAAACATGTGCAGGTTTCTTTTTTGTAGAATGATTTGAGTTCCTCTGGGTATATTCCCAATAGGGGAATTGCTGGGTCATATGGAAGGTCAATTTCTAGTTCTTTCAGAAATTGCCACATTGTCTTCCCGAGAGGTTGCACAAGTTTGCATTCCTATCAGCAGTGTAGAAGTGTTCCTTTTTCTCCTCATCCTCACCAGCATCTGTTGTTGTTTGTTTTATTAATGATGGCCATTCTTACTGGGGTTAGGTGATATCTCATCAATGTGGCTTTGATTTGCGATTCTCTGATGATGAGTGAGGCTGAGCACTTTTTCATGTGTCTGTTGGCTGCCCATATATCTTCTTCTGAGAAGTGTCTATTCGTCTTTGCTCACTTTTTAAAGGGGCTGTTTGTTTTTTTCTAGGGCTTTTTTTTTTTTTTTTGAGTTGGAGTCTCACTCTGTCGCCCAGACTGGAGTGCAGTGGCCACTCCCGGCCACCGCAGCCTCGACCTGCTGGACTACAGCGATCCTTCCGACTCAGCCTTCCAAGTAGCTGGAACTAGAGGCGCGCACTACCACGCCCCGCTAATTTTTTATTTATTGTAGAGATGAGGTCTCGCCAAGTTGCCCAGGCAGGTCTCGAACCCGTGGGTTCAGGCAATCCACTCACCTCAGCCTCCCAAAGCGCTGGGATTACAGGCTGAGCCACCGAGCCTGGCTTTTCCAGGGCTTTTTTTGGTAGGTAGTTTTCGTGTAACAGTCAATTTTCTGAGTTGTTATTGGTCTATTTAGTGTATCAGTGTCTTCTTGTTTCAACCTGGGGTGGTTGTGTGATGTCAGAAAGTCCTCCATTTCATTTAGGTTATCAAGTTTGTTTCCATACAGGTGTACATAGTAATCTCTGATAATCTTTTGTATTTCTTTGGGATCAGTTGTGATTTGGTCTTTTGTATTTCTGATTGTGTTTATTTGGGCTCTTTCTCTCCTTTTCTTGGTTATTCTGTCTAGGGGCCCATCAATGTTGTTAATCCTTTCAATGAACTTTTTATTTTGTTGATGTTTTCTATGATATTTTTGTCTTCTATGTCCTGTATTTGTGCTCTATTTTTGTGATTTGGATTCTTCTGCTAAAGTTGGGGCTTTGGTGATCTCTTTCCAGCTCCCTTAGGTGATTTGTTAGGCTCTTAACTTCTGATCTTTCTGTTTTCTTGATGTGTGCTCATAGAGATATAAATTCTCCTCCGAGAATTGTTTTCAGGGCATCCCAGAGGTGTTGGTAAGATGTTTCTTCATTTTCATTTGTTTCCAGGAATCTTTCAATTTCTGCTTTGATTTCAGTGTTGACCCAGTAGTTGTTCAGCATCATGCTATTTAGTGTCCATATCTTTGTGGGCTTTGGCAAAATGTTGTTGGTGTTGATATTTATTTTTATTCCATTGTGGTCTGAGAATGTGCATGGCAAGATTTCAACCTTATGGAATTTGTTTATGCTTGATTTATGGCCAAGGATGTAATCGATCTTGGAGTATGTTCCATGTGGTGATGAGTAGAATGTATATTCTGTGGTTTTTGGGTGGAATAATCTCTAGGTATCTATTAAGTCCATTTGTTCAAGTGTCAGGTTTAATTTCTGGATCTCCTTGTTGATTTTTTGCTTTGATGATCTATCTAGGGCTGTCAGTGGAGTATTCAAGTCTCCTGCTATAATAGTGTTAGAGTCAATATCTTTTTCAAGTTTACTTAGTAGTAGTTTTATAAATGCTGGTGCTCCTGTGTTGGGTGCAAATATGTTTAGAATGGATATTTCTTGTTGATGGATTGAGCCTTTTATTATTATGTAGTGTCCTTTTGCAAGATGATGGATTTTTAACATATATTACTCAATATAACTGACATGCACCACTTGTTAATGTCACAAAATGCCTGGTCTGTGTGGGTGTAGATAGTTTCATAACAGGTATTCAGGAAAGTTGTATTTTTGTCACATTGTTTTATTAATTTTTTCTCATTTTTCGAGTGTTGTTATTGTTTTGCAATTTAAAATTGCTATTTATTTAAAGTAGTCATTGAATAAGGTTTTGAAAAATTATTTATTATTATGACACAGCTGTTCCTTGGTCTCCATGGAGGATTAGTTCCAGGAACCCCATGGATATCAAAATGCTTAGATGCTTAAGTTCCTAAGTCAGGCCTGCAGAACCCTTGGATATGAAGAGTTGGTCCTTGTATCCACAGGATCTGCATCCCAAGAATACTGTATTTTTAGTTGTGGTTAGTCGAATCCACAGATGTGGAAACTGTGGTTGCAGGACCCAAGGATATAGAAGGCTGAATATCTTTGTTTAGTCTTTAGTATTTATTTGTTTACAATCAATATGAAGTCAATATGTTTAGTATAATTTTTTTTTCTCTTCAGTTATGGGACAGTCATGTATTTACAGCTAATTGGTGTGTCCTTTGAGGTCATGGTGGGAAAATACCCCCCTTTTCAGGGTTAACACAAATTTACACAACACAAGTTTTGGGGTCATAGGTTGTTTGAAACTGGGCTTCCCTAAAATTAATTTGAATTACAGGTAATCACTCTTTCTGTATTAAAAATCCTGTTCCCTTTTTGTCCTGAAAGTTTGAAGATCATGGTTGAAAATTTTGTAACTTTTCAGTGTAACTATTATTTTTGGCATAATATATTTCTTCTTTCCTTTTATAAAAAAATTCAGTAGCATTAGGGGCTACAAATGGTTTCTGGTTATATGGATGCATTGTTTGGTGGTGAAGAAGCCCTGGCTTTAAGTGTACCCCTAACCTGACTAATGTTTATTGTACCCAGTAGACGGTGTTTCGTCCCTACTGCCTTTCCCACCCTTCCCTTCTGAGTATCCAGTGTCCGTTATATCATCTATATGTCTTTTCAGATTGTTAGCTTAGTTCTCCCTTATAAGTGAGAACCTGTGGTATTTGGTTTTCCGTTCCTACCTTACTTCACTTAGGCGAATGGTCTCTGATTCCATCCATGTTTCTGCAGAAGACATCATTTTATTCTTTATTAACAACTGAGTGGTAATTTTTGGTATATTATTATTATTATTTTGAGTTGGAGTCACTCTGTCACCCAGACTGGAGTGCCGTGGCATGCTCATGGCCACCCCAGCATTGACCTGCTGGGCTCCGGTGATCCTTCCATCTCAATCTTCCAGTAGCTGGAACTACAGGCATGCACTACATGCCCGGCTAATATTTTTTTGGATTTATTGTAGAGATGAGGTCTCACCAAGTTGCCACTGGGGCTGGTCTTGAACCCGCGGGTTCAGGCAATCCACTCGCCTCAGCCTCCTGAAGTGCTGGGATGACAGGCTGAGCCACCAAGGCTGGTTTTTTGGGTGTATTTTTCAACACGAGGTATTGATTTACCAACCGTTGTTAATAGGAAACCTATGTTTCTTCATATCTTATAGATGTATCTTCTACACATGTGATCAAGGAATTACCACCAAAAGAGAGCAGTAATAGCACATGAGAAATATTTGGAAAGACATGAAAGCCTTGACATCAAAGATTTTCTACTTCAGGAAAATCCAGGAAAATATTTATGATTTTGAGTGTCAGTGGAGCAATGAAGAAAGAAATGACAAGGTAGTCCCTGGAATTAAAATTAAAAACATCACTGGTGGAAGAGACTAACACGATGGAAGGGATGCAGAAAATAAGCCTATTGGAAATCAGAATAAATTAACCTTTTGGTCCCATTTGGCTGAAATGCAGGAACTTCAGACTGAAAGAAAAATTTACGAATGTCATCTGGTTGAGAAGTCTATCCACAATGGTTTCTCGGTTTCACCACATCAAACAATTCTTCCTAGTGTCCACACCAACATTTATAATACATATTGGAGTGATTTGATGCCTCCTTTGTTTCTCACAGAAGACCAGAAAACACACTTGTGAAATACCTTACAAGTGTAATGAGTGTGGCAAGTCCTTTAATCAGGACTCTCACCTCACTGGGCATCAGGCAATCCACACCGGAGAGAAACCATATAAATGTTATCTATGTGAAGGTTTTTAGTCAAAATTCAAACCTAGCAAGTCATCATAGAATTCACACCAGAGAGAAGTCTTACAAATGTAACGAGTGTAGCAAGGTCTTCAGACAAAATTCACACCTTGAAAATCATCAGAGAATTCATACCAGAGAGAAGTCTTTCAAATGTCATGATTATGGCAAAGTTTTTAGGATGCATTCAAGCCTAACTAAACATGAGGCAGTCCATATTGGAATGAAACCTTATAAATGAAATGAATGTAGCAAGGGTTTTATCCAAAGGTCAAAACTTATAAAACATCACAGAATTCATACTGGAGAGAAACCACACAAATGTCTTGAATGTGGTAAAGCATTTATCCAAAATTCAAGTCTGGTGGACCATTAGAGTACTCACACTGGAGAGAAACCATATAAATATAATGAGTGTGGCAAAGTCTTTATTGTGCATTCAAGCCTAACTAACCATCAGGTCATCTATACTGGAGGGAAAACTTACAAATGTCACGAATGTGGCAAGGCTTTTATGAAGCATTCATACCTGAGGTATCATGAGAGTATTCACACCAGAGAGAAGCAGTACAAATGTATTCAGTGTGGCAAGACCCTCAGGCAATAGTGTGACATAAGGATTCACCAAAGAATTCATGCTGGAGAGAAACCTTACAGATGTGATAAATATGGCAAAACCTTTACTCAGGGATCACATCTCAGTAAATACCAGGCAATTCATACCGGAGAGAAACCATACAAATGTGATCTACGTGACAAAGTCTTCAGTCAAAATTCACACCTTTAAATCCATCAGAAAATTCATACAAGAGAGAAACCTTACAAATGTCATGAGTGTGGCAAAGCCTTTAGCATGCATTCAAGCCTAACTTACCACCGAGTAATCCATACTGGAGAAAAACCTTACAAATGTAATGAATGTGGTAAGGCCTTTATCAAGTGATTTCACCTCAGACATCATGAGAAGATTCATATGGGAGAGAAGCCATACAAATGTGTAAATTGAGGCAAGGCCTTTAGACAACGGTCTGACATCAGTATTCACCAAATAATTCATGCTGGAGAGAAACCTCACAAATGTGATGAGTGTGGCAAAACCTTTACTCAGGCCTCTCACCTCACCATGCATCAGGTAGTCCACACTGGAGACAAACCTTATGAATGCGATGTATGTGGCAAGATCTTTAGTCAGAATTCTTACCTTGAAAGTCATCATAGAGTTCATACTGTAAAGAAACCTTACAAATGTGATGTATGTGGCAGGGTCTTCAGTCAAAATTCACACCTTGTGAATCATTGGCGAATTCATACTGGAGAGAAACCGTATAAATGTCATGCGTTTGACAAAGCCTTTGGTGTGTGTTCAAGCCTAACTAAACATCAGGTCATCCATACTGGAGATAGACTTTACGAATGTAATGAATGTGGTAAGGCTTTTAGCAGGTGTTCACATCTTAGGCTTCATGAGAAAATCCCTACTGGAGAGAAGCCATACAGATGTATTGACTGTGGCAAGGACTTTAGACAATGGTTTGACCGCAGCGTTCACCAAATAATTCATTCTGGAGAGAAACCTTACACATGTTATAATTGTGGTAAGGCTTTTACTTGGAGCTCACATCTCACTCATCATCAGATTGTTCATACTGGAGAGAACTTTACAAGTGTATTACATGTGGCAAGACTTTCAAGCATGGTCCTAAAATCAGGATTCACCACATAATTCACACTTAAAAATACAATGAAGATAGCAGTGTTTTAAAGTAGTGTTTACTAGTTATTAGATATAAGAAAACTTCATCCTGGAGAGAAACTACACAAATGTAATTTGTGTGGCAAGGATTTTACCCGAGGATCAAAAGTTGGAGAACATCAAATAATTCATACTGGAGATATACAGTACAACTTCAATGAGTGTGGTAAAGACTTTTTTTTTTTTTTTTTTTGAGTCAGAGTCTCACTCTGTCATCCAGTCTGGAGTGCAGTGGCATACTCACAAGCTACTGCAGCCTCAACTTGCTGGGCTCAGGCAATCATTCCACCTCAGCCTTCCAAGCTGGAACTACAGGCACGCGCCACCATGCCCAGCTAATTTATTGTAGAGATGAGGTCTTGCCAAGTTGTCCAGGCTGATCTCAAACCCTGGGCTCAGGCAATCCTCTTGCCTCAGCCTCCCAAAGTGCTGGGATTACAAGCGTGAGCCACTGTGCCTGGAAAAACTTTACCATGAGTTTAAATATTACATGACATCAGAGAGTCCATATTGAAGAGAAACCATGTAAGTGCAATGTGTGTGGCAAGGGCTTTATTCAGGCCTCACAATGTGCGTCTGGTCAGAGTATATATCTTTTAGAGAGACCACACAAAAGTAATATGCATGTTAAGGCTTTTACCCAATGACCAAAGTTGTGGAACATCAGAGGATTTATTCTAGAGAGCAACCTCTCACAAATATAAGGAAAGTGGTAAGGTGTTTTTTGTTTGTCTTTTTAAGACAGGGCCTCACTCTGTCACCCAGGCTGGAGTGCAGTGTTATGATTGGCTCAAGCTATCCTTCTGCCTCAGTTTCCCAAGTAGCTGGAACTATAGGCACACACCACCATGCCTGGCTAAGTTTTTGCATTTTTTTGTGGTAATGAAGTTCACCATGTTACCCAGGCTAGTCTTGAACCTGAGCTGGAAGCAATTCTCCTGCCTCAGCCTCCCAAAGTGCTGGGATTACAAGCATGAGCTACCATGTCCAGCCTGGTAAGGCTTTTTATCCAATTTTCTTGCCTTTAGAGTCAAGAGAATTCATAAAGGACAGAATCCATTAAAAATGTACTTAACATGGGAAGACTTTTAAGAAACTGTCTACTCAGGATTCACCAAAGGATTTTTTTTGTAAGAAACTACAAATGTAACAAATGTGGTAAATCATTTAATCTGTTCCCACAACAGAGACTATACATTCATACGAGGAATAACTCAGTCTATAATTCTTCAAGATTAATTTGAGATGTTACAAACTGCAGAATAATTCCAAGTCCAAGTGTGTTAAAACACATAACACGATGTATAGCAGAGGAGTAAGAACATGTGAGGAGATGACAGATTATCTTCTGTTTATAAAATGTTTTATTTGATTATGGACTTGTTTCTTGAAAGGGCTACATTCCTATTTATTGACTTCTACCAATAGCTGGCACTATGCCTTTTTTTTTTTTTTTTGAGTTGGAGTCTCACTCTGTCGCCCAGACTGGAGTGCAGTGGCCGCTCCTGGCCACCGCAGCCTCGACCTGCTGGGCTCTGGTGATCCTTCCGCCTCAGCCTTCCAAGTAGCCGGAATTACAGGCATGCGCTACCACGCCCGGCTGATTTTTTTATTTATTGTAGAGATGAGGTCTCGCTGCCCAGGCGGGTCTCGAACCCGCGGGCTCAGGCAATCCACTCACCTCAGCCTCCCAAAGGCGTGGGATTACAGGCTGAGCCACTGAGCCCGGCTCACTATGCCTTTTTTTATAGGCCTTTCTTCAGTGTCTTTGGGAAGCAATACAATGAAAGGGCTTGCTCTACTAGGTGTGATTCATTCCTATCTGCGTTCCTTGGGAGAACAAAGAGGCTGAAATTTTAAATTCAGTATTGTGTGAACTGGCATCAGGGAGGGGTGGAAAAGAATGTGACACTGTAAGTCATCATGCTTGTGTTTATTGGTGCCCTTCTTCAGAGAGAAGGTCCCTGTGGGTTATAGGAAAAATTGTTCTGCAAACTGACCATGAAGCTTCATGCCAGGACATCAAGACACTGGACTTTTCATGAGAGGAAAGGGGTGCATCTCTAGGGACTGATCTTATGGTGGAAGTAATGCAGGGAAAATGCATCCTCTTTCTTGAAAGGCAATCACTGTTGTATATCAATAATGAATGAAAAATTAGTGTTAATTCTTTTTTTTTTTTTTTTTTTGAGTTGGAGTCACACTGTCACCCAGGTTGGAATGCAGTGGCATGCTCATGGCTACCATGTCCTCGACCTGCTGAGTTCAGGCAATCCTTCCACCTCGACCTTCCAAGTAGCTGGAACTACAGGCACACCCCACCATACCCAGATAATTTCTTGACTATATTTGTAGAGATGAGGTTTCATCAAGTTGCCCAGGCTGGTCTCAAAGCCCAAGGCTCAGGCAATCCTCTTGCCTCAGCCTCCCAAAGTGCTGGGATTATAGGCATGAGCTACCACCAAGGCTGACCAGTGTTCATTCTTATAAATTGAAGATAGAACAGTGTAATCATAGAGGGTAGTTTAATACAAAGAACAAGAATAGTAGTACAGGTGTAGATTGACACTGAACAACTGGCATTACAGTTTGCTACTGTTTTATTTAGAATGTATCATAGATCTCATGCTTTAATAAAATTTAATCATTTTTCCATAACTCTTAATGAATAATGTTCCTTCTTCCAACACATGTTACCTTGTCTCAGTTGGGAACTTGATAACAGACACTCCGAATGCACCATTAGGCTTTCCAGGTTGACAAAATCTACAAAATTTATTTTCTTTTTTTTTTGAGTCAGATCCTCATTGTGTTGCCCATGCTGGAGTGTGGTGGCACACTCATGGTCACCGCAACCATGACCTGCTGAGTTCAGGAAATCCTTCCGCCTCAGCCTTCCAAGTAGCCGGAACAACAGGCACATGCCACCATGCCTGGCTAATTTTTTGATTTACTGTAGAGATGAGGTCTTGCCAAGTTGCCCAAGCTGGTCTTGAACCCGTGGGCTTAGGCAGTTCTCTCACCTTGGCCTCCCAAATTGCTGGAATTATAGGCATGAACCACTGTGCCCAGTTCAAAAATTTATTTTCATGGTGAAATTTATCAAAATACAAATTCTGGATTATATAATGATAATTTGAAGTTGAGTTATTCTTTCTGCACTCTTCTCTGGGATTTTTTTTTTTTGAGTCAGGTTCCCACTCTGTCACCCAGGCTGGAGTGCAGTGGCTCACTACAGCCTTGATCTCCTACTGGGCTCAGGCAATCCTCTGCCTCAGCCTCCCAGGTAACTGGGACTACAGGTATGTGCCACTACACAGACTTAATTTTTGATTTTTTTTTGTTTTTAGAGATGAGGTCTTGACATGCTGCCCAGGCTGGTCTCTAACTCCTGGGCTCAAGCAGTCCTCCCACTTCAGCCTCCCAAGGTGCTGGGATTATAGGCGTGAACCACCATGTCCAACCCTGCCCTGGGATATTGATGTGGCTATAATGAAAATACTAAGCCGGGAGTGGTGGCTCATGCCTAGGGTTTGAGACTAGCCTGGGCAACTTGACAAGACCTTGTCTCTACAGTAAATAAAAAAATTAGCTGGGCGTGGTGGTGCACGTCTGTGTTTCCAGCTACTTGGAAGACTGAGGTGGAAGGATTGCTTGAGCCCAGGTTGAGGCTGCAGTGACTGTGAAAGTGCCACTGCACTCCAGCCTGGGTGAGAATGAGATTACAACTCCAGCCTGGGTGAGAGTGAGATTACAACTCCAAAACAAAAACCAACACCATAGTAGTGCACTTTTAGACTCTGAAATCCTAAAACCTGCCTCATTATTAATGAATATGCAATGTATGATTGTACTCTACATACCTTTTATTGTGCTGATAGAAGATCCATGTTTTGTATCTTGATTTAAATAAAGTAAAAATATAAATGTAGTAAGCATATGAAAACATTTGGAAATAAAAGAACATTTCAAGGAGAGGCATGAAAATAACATAGCCTTTTTTTGTTCTTGGAACACGATGAAAAAATTGGAAAAGTATAATGGTCATGAGTTTCCTCTGAAGAATGAACATACACAACGTAACTTTTTGGATTTTTTTTGTTATCTTATTTCTCAAATTTTTTTATTACTTTGCACTGTGGTCACTGCACTGGAACAGGATGGACTCCCACCCAAAGTTTGGTTTGGATATTGATACTGATGATGGCATGATACTAAATTAAATGAGGCTTTCTGGGGAGAGTGGGGTGGACTTCCCAAGTTGATCCAAAAATGACTAGAGAAAGCAGAGATGGGGCCTGGTTTGGAGTGTTATGGTGGTTACTGGGTGTGGTTAGGGTGCTGGTACACACATGTGATTTTAACTTTCATCTGATGCCAAAAAAATGAGCAACCAAGCTTTAGTATCGCTTGCCCAGCTGGGCAGAATAAGAAGTAGCAGCAAGGTTTAAAAGGTGTCAGTAGCAAATAGAAAATGGAGTCAGATGTTAGTACAACCCTGAATGTTTACCCTGGGAACTCTTTTTTTGAGTCATAGTCTCATTCTGTCACCAGGCTGGCGTAGTGGTACAATCTGGGCTCACTGCAGTCTCAACCTTCTGAACTCAGGCGATCCTTCCACTTCAACCTCCCAAGTAGCTGGGACTACAGGCTCTTGCCACCACATTATATGTTTTTTAAATTTACTCAAAAAAATATATATTTATTTCTTCCCTGTTTTACTCCAGGGGATACATATTACAATAAGGTTTTGAGATTTTGTGACATGAAAATGCACATAAGGAAATGCGAGGTACAAAGTAGGTGCTGTACAAATAAGAAAAAAGTTTAATTCAATGAATGAACTGGAATGATATAAGTTGAAGTGAGATTTCACAATGTGGAAGTTAGCTAAGACCAGAGGCTTGAAAATCAAGTGTGTGGAGGTTAATCAGCACCCAGCAAAATAAATGAAAATGCAGTGAGAGATG